GAGCTGGCGTCCCAAGTCAACTCTTAACCAGCGCACCACTCCGCCGGCCTGAAAGCTAGCAGTGACCTTTTAGGAAACGGTCACTTAATCTTTCGAGTGAATGAATGAATGAAGTTGAGGAAATTAACAATCTATTCCTTCTACACAAGTATTGCTGTATGTGAAACAACTCTTTTCCTATTGGATTTCATTCTACTGCCTAATTTCATACAGTATACTGTGCCTGGAACATACTAACTATTGAAGTCCATAAGTATGTGATAAATGAAAATCTACCTCCTTATATTTAATGAGTTTAGTTTTTTTGTCTGAACTTAGTAGAATATACTGAAGTCCTTCTTCCATGTGATGTGATGCTCTCATACTATCATCATTCTCTTTCTAATTATCATTCAAAAATATGTCCCACTTCACACTGTGTGCTGCATTTTGTATGTTTGCATTTGGAAAATTTTTTAAAAGAATATTTTTAAAAATCAACTGCATATACTTAGATATATACTTCCATGTGTTGTGATGTAATTATATATTAGTTAAGTTTCCCATGCATAAACTCATTTTGGTTCAAAGTTATTTACTCTGTTTGATATAGTGCTACCAAATGGAGTAATGGAGAATTTTCTTTTAAAAAAAAGGAATTTTCTTTGTTGCTAAAGCTTTTTAAAGTGTCTTTTAAATTATTAGTTATAAACTCCAGATAATAATTTCAAATTTATTTGTTCTATTATCAGTTATTTTCTTTCATATTAATAGGAAAATAATAAAATTATAATTTTAGCATTATAAGTAAATCTAAAAAAAATGGTGGCATTTATACTGAATTAGTACAGTTTGTTTTTTTTGTCTCCAGTAATATTAATAATACTTTGTTGTTATTTTAATCACCCTTGGTCGGTTAAAACCACCCATCTAGTAATTCTCAGTCCTTATTTCTGCCTTAACACAGCTTTGGGGTATGACACAGTAGTTTTTCAAAAGTACAGTTAGCAGGGTACCCTTCTCTGTCAACTCCCTGAGAATTTTATTATTCATCCTCTTTTTCCCCACACTTCATTGTTTTTTGTCAATTACCAGAATATATGAGAATTTTGAGTTTTAAAATTAAGCATATATAAGTAACATTTTAAAGGCCGACTGTCATCATAGAGGCAGATGTTCTTGGGCACATGGCATGTATCTTGATGTATTTTTAAATTGGTTCTTCTGCTCTATTGGGTTAGAACAAGCAGATACGTGGCTGCATTTGAGTCAAGGCCTTCCCATAGCACACTGATAAAGAGTCTTTCCTATTTTGAAGGACCAAGTGTTTCCTTTTAGGTTGGTTGACAAGATTGGCATTACACCTGCTAAGAGACCCACAGTACCCCTTGATGGCAGCTTGACGAATCAGTTTCCAGGTCTCTACTTCTACTGACCTGTGACTTTAGGAAATTTTTATAAATAAAAAGTGGAATGTCCTTAACAGATAATAAAAGTTTAAAATAGAACAGTCGTTACTAATTTTCTGAAACAGTCAAAACTCTTAAGGTGCATAAAATATAAACAAGCAATAATCAATTTTGACTGAAGTATATAATACAGCAATATAAGGACAATACAGAAAACTAGAAGCTTTTGATGTAGTAGTAATAGTATACCAGTGGTTAAAAAGGATATTTTCTTCAAATTGTAAAGCCTGAAATTTAGGAAGTAAATTAATACATTGTCAAGGATTAGCTGAAGGTTAACCATATTTTATGACTGAAGTCAGCAAGGAACTGTTACACATTAATTAGCTAATATTGTGGTCATGTTAGATATATTGGAGAGCAGTGCGCGTGGTTAAGCCAGCCACTGTTTTTGCAAATTAATGGTAGACTTTGAGGAAAGCTCTACTGTAGATAAAACCTGAGGTGAACGCCAGTTAAATCAGTAATTTCACCTTTGTTATGATTGTTCTGATGTTTTGTTTTGTTTTTTCTCTTTCTCTGAAAAGGAACTACGGAAACGTGTTAATAAAATCAACCCATTAGATTTAATTTTGTTTTTGATGGAAATATTTCCTCCTGTAAAATTTAATGGCCATGAATTTGATGGCAGAGATTATTTACCATAACCAGACCTGTCCCTGAGAGGCAATTTAAAACATTTCCATTAGAACCTAGGTAACTAATCACGAGGAATGTTGTTGGAACATTATAAAAAAGGGCTATGTGAAAGTAATTTCAGACCTGGTCTGATATTTTGATATTTCTATCCCTCCCTCCTCCCCGTAAGAAAAGTCAGTAAACACAGTGTAATGTTTTTATTGTCTTTGAAGCCCGTGATTCTGACTGATTTCAAGTTTAAAGGTGATACTGTTGGGTTGCTGGAAAAGTCATGACGTATTTTTTCTGTTTTTTGTCTCAAAAATGCGTCATGACTTTTCCGACAACCCATTACTTTATCATGAGGTCCTTTGGTAGTCCCCTCACATAGGCAAAGTAGGTCCGCCTTTACCAAAATGTGTTCTTATAACCAATAGTTTCATAGTGAGGTATTTTGAGTGTTTTTATCTGTATAAGGACAGCTAGACAATTTAAAAAATGCTTTTGCCAAACAGGGCCCTTTAAGTCTTAGTGCCTTATGCACATGAAATTCATGACTGCATTCGTACATGTTGTATGTATGAATAGATTTATTTATGAAATATGTATTGAACACCTACTAGTTGGCAGGAAACGTTCTAAGTACTGGAAATTAAGCATTTAAAACAGATGAAGTTCCAACCCTCCCAAGAGGACAGCATCTTGGATCTTATATTCCTGAAAAGTGGTAACAGTGTACTTTCTTCCTGCGTAAAAGAAGAGCCGATTGCTGTCTTAGGTCATACACCTACATGTACGGTAGAGCACGGCATGGAAAGATCTGTGACTGATGGGAGGCAGGTACCCCTATACTTGCAAGTGCCTAAGCTCTCCCTCTCAGCAGCTGCCCGTGATTTTCCCAGCTTGCTCATGTGTTCTTTCCAACCCAAGTTCTTTCAGATATACTTACTCAGTGTCCCAACCTGCCCTGTTTCCTCCAGCCCTCACCTGTCTTCCTCGTGGACTCAGTGCAGTCTCAGTACATTGCTTTAAACAGTACATGAGTGTCTGCTCTGTGTGTGCGTGCGTGCGTGCGTGCGTGTGTGTGTGTGTGTGTGTGTGTGTGTGTGTGTGTGTGTATTTGTGCATGCACACACGTCTTTCTGCTCCAGCTTGTTTCTAAACTCCAGAGAGACCACAGTCAGGGACTTGGCTTTAGCACAGTACTTTATGTGTAGTCGTATTTAGTATCTATATTTGTTGACTTCAACTACTGTCCTAAAATTGCTTAAAATCTTAGCAATTTCTTTTTAAAATGTGGTCAAAACACTTAGTGTGTAAAACCTTTACTTCTTTTTTCAAAAATAAAACAGATTATGCTAATATGAAACTTCTTGATAGGACTCCTCCTCTGCTCGTTAAGAGTTGTTTTTCATTTTTATGAGCTCCATAGCCTTTGGCGGTACAGGTGGGGTCACCCTTCTAATCAGGCAAAATAATATAACTAAATCAGTATGGCTATATCTAACATATACTTTTTCTTATTTTATTGAAGAGGGTACTAGGGGCCATTTTTCTTTGTTATAACTGTCTTCCTCCCCCCTTCCCTCCTCCAAAAAGTTTAAGCTAGATTTAATAATTTCCATTATGATTTCTGTTTTTTTTCCTGTATAATTGATTACTAGCAAAATTCACAGGCAGGTAGTCAGTGGAAGTTCCATTCTGTCAGAGCCCAGTGTCGTCTCTTCTGAAAGCCTCCACTTCAGAGGCTTTCAATAGGATAGGTGTCCCACCGAGCAAGCAGTGCTCCCTCTGGGTAAGCATGGACCTCAGTGGGTGAGGCATCTGCCCTGAAAGATTTGTACGAAGAGCAAAAAAGTAAAAAGCAATCAGTATTTTATGGAAGTAATTGTATTACAATCTGATGCACTCGTGTATTATTAGTTGGTTATAAATTCTGTTCAGTCCTTTGTTCCTTAACCTTTCATTTGGGAATAACTGGCAACTCTCTTTAGATTAAGTCTGAAGAATTTTTATACAGAATTTTAATTTTTTTTTAAGATTTTTTTTTTTTAATTGGGGAAGGGGAACAGACAAGTTGCTGTCCTTTTGTTCTTCAGTCTAGTTGTGGAGGACGTTGCTTCACTGGCCCAAGTTGGCACCATCATTGCGCTCTTCCTGGGCGAGGCAGATCAGTCGCCGGCTTCTGGACGGCAGCTCACTGCGGCTGCTGGCCGCTCACGCTGGCTGCTGGCTACATACGGTAGCCCATGGCAACCCACTGCAGCAGGGGCTGCAGCCTACACCATCGCCGGCGACTCACAGCAGCCCAGCTCCAGGTTGAGCTGTTGTTCAGCATCTTAGCTGTGGAGGGCAGTGTCACTGGCCCTCATATGTGGGGACCTCTGGCGACCAAGCCAGCTCTTAACCAACATGCCACTTGGCCGGCCCCAGAATTTTAATTTTTAATGAATTAAATGAAGTGGACCATAGAAGTGTGAATGTAATTATTAAGTAATTAGTTGAAAACCCTTGAAAAAAGGTAATTCTCCTTTTAGACTTTTGTTTGTCTTGAGTGGCAAATGTAAAAACTCTTGATATACCAAGCATGCATTTGTAGATTCTAGTATTGTTTTGAGTAAGAGAAGTGGTAGATAAATGGATGTGTTATTATAAGTACCTGGATTATTTGTATTTTCATAATTCTAATGTAAAACTATTCATTAATATCTTTGTATCCCAGACTAAGTGAGCTTTTCCCCTTTCAAGCCTAAATTCTTCCTAATGTTTATTCTTTTCTATTATATATTTGTTGATTATGCATATTGCAGTTATTTTCAATACTTTTGAAAGAATCATGGATTTAAAATTATATTTAAGGAGATCTGGTCTAAAATGACTCTTAGTTGACCGGTGAGAATGTGCCTGTGCTAACCTTTTCATCACCTCCGGCAGGTTTTGGGTCCTGCACCCAGGTGGTGTTCCTTCTTAGACAACTTGACAGAAGAATTAGAAGAGAATCCAGAAAGCACAGTTTACGATGATTATAAATTTGTCACCAGGAAAGACCTTGAAAATTTAGGTAAAAGAAATTATGATAAAATGATTATAAAATTATTTTATTTCTACTTGTTTGTTTGCTTTTTAATTTTGTACATTTTAGAAGTGGTAAGTCATGTTAATCTGATTTTCCAGATCTCTTTCTGCCAAATTAGACATTAAACATAGTATATACTCGTTTTGTCAAGTTTGTAATCTCTGCTTAGAGACACGTTCAGATAAATTCAACTTACTGAAGCTTTTTTATATCTTAAATGAGGACAAATTTTTTTTTTAAGATTTTATTGGGGAATTGGGGGAGGGAAACAGTGTTGGGGAATTGGGGAAGGGGACCAGCCAAGTTGTTCTTCAATCTTAGTTGTGGAGAGCACCAGTTGCCATCTGGCTTCCCGTTGGCAGCTCATGGCCTCTAAGCTCAAGGTGCTTTGTTCAGTCTTAGTTGTGGGTGGGCGTAGCCACCATCCCATGCGGGAGTCGAACCAGCAGCCTTGTTGTTAAAAACACACGTGGATGGTTCTATCCACTGAACCATCCAGGCTGCAGCTCAGCTCGAGGTGCCGAGTTCAGTCTTAGTTTCGGGTAGGCGTAGCCCACCATCGATCAGGCAATCTCGTTGTTACACCAGCTGAGCCATCCTGCCACCTGTTGGCAGCTCAGCAACAGCTCAGCTCAGGTGCAGCGTCACTGGCCCATGTGGGAATCGAAGCGGCGGCCCTGTTGCTCAGAGCTCGTGCTCTTAAGCCAACTCTTAACCAACTGAGCCACTTGGCCGGCCCAGGACAAATTTTTTTTTAGCGTACAACCTATGATAGAAAAAAATGTCAAGAAATAAGTGATTTGTTTTTCAAGCACTATTTGAATATAATAAGGTTTTGAAAAATCTCAGAGGCTGCAAGTAAATGACTCTGGCTCCCTTTTAGGTTTGCTTATAGAAGGACCTGACCCAAAACTTCTGGCTTGGCCAACTTGCTTCACCTTATTATGCCTTGGTTTCCTCATCTATAAAATGGCAATATAATGACACCCACCCATAGGGATGCTTGGAGACTAGGTCAGATAATGCCTGGAAAGTACTCAGCATGGTGTCTAAACATAATAAGTGACTGTTAACTATCATTTAAAGAGATTTGTGGCAAATGAGTTTGAGAAATGCTAGGTTAAGTCAAGTCAAGTCAGTTTCTTTACTAACAGACTTCTTTGAGCCGTAATGTCTTCATGCGCTGTAACTCTCCAGAAAGGGGAGGAAACGTTTCCCAAATTTTTCCATCACAGAAACGTTTCTTCTCAGAAGATCTCTTGGGACTGGTGCTCTGTAGAGCCTACTATGGGAGATGCTGCTGTCAGATGCTCTGTTTAGAATTGTTTCAATCTGAAAAGCTTTCTGCGGGTTTTTATTTATGACCTAACTTGGAATGGGAACAATACTATGACATAAATGTTTTACATACTTAATAGAGGAAACAAAAATGATAAAAACACACATGCAGGTACCCAAATGCTGATAGTTGTATATCAGTGCATTTCATTAAGGTTCAGCCCTCCCCCTTTTTTTTAAGATTCCACTGTGAAATTTTTTACCTGGAGTTTTACCGACCTAGTGAATTCTAGGGAAGTATTTTTCTTGACCAAGTCTTATCATTACTTTATGAGATTATCCTAAATTTGCCTTCTGATGTTGTCCTATAATGTGTACTATTTTGTACACCTGTGTGGTTTTGCCTAGTAACCTTTAAGGTCGAGAGGGATGTTTATTTCTAAAATTTGGAAACCAGGGTAATGTTTTCCTTGGAAACATAGGCATTTAGTATTATGCCAGCTAAAGCTGCTGCTCTTATGGGCTTATCACACGTGGTCTTATTCTGAAGGTAGACGTTCTCCTAACCGTTCTCTCTGTAGTTACTTGCAATGAGTAAATAATTTCTATAACAGGCAGAGGATCCTTATTTGACAACCAGCACCACTAATTCTAAATGTAATCTACCAAAACTAGGAAACCCTCGGAAAGACATTGTTCAGAGCAGGGCGAAAGGAGTGAGTGTCTTGTTCACCATGATGAATGCGTGTGCCTCGAATATATATGTTAATGGGCATGTGTGTGGTTACATAAGTTGGTACAAAGTTGTCAGCTGATCTTTCTTGGGGAAAAAAACATTCCCTTTCTACATTATTATTGTGATAGTGTCCTTTGTTTTTGGAAATTTTGGGAGATAACAGTGATCTTGCAATCACTGCTGCTCCTCCTACTTGGCAGCGTAAAAGATGGCAACTTCATGTGGATCCCAATATTATTTTAAAAATTGAACTGGTTCATGGAATCAAAAAATCAGAGAACCTCTAGCATAAGGAACCGTTCTTTACCAGCCTGTCGTGGTTCCTGAAGACTTTTTCATTTTTATGCTTACTATTACATTAAAAATAAGTAAGGATGATATTGTTAAAGTGGATTACATTTTCTCCATATTTATTGAAGAAGATTGGTAATTTTCCTTAAATTTTTACTCAAAAGTGAAATCTTATTATAATTAAATTGTTTTCCAAGAAAAACTTAAATTTTAGTCAAGATTTCATGAGGACCTGTCCTCTTCTGATTAACTTTCTGCAGGGCTCACACATCTCATTGGATCGCCTTTTCTCCGGGCATACATGCATGGATTTTTCATGGATATAAGACTCTATCACAAGGTAAGTACAAAAGTGCAACTGTTTAGGTGACTGATGAGCAATCTAGAGCCATTTCTCCTCTACTTACTGGCATTTTCATGAAACATACTTATTATTTATAAGAGATCTGCCTAATTGTTGACATAATAGTTGTGGTATATATGAAATGTGCTGCTAAATATGATTCTTTTTTTTCCATTTTGAAAAGGTGAAATTGATGGTAAATCCATTTGCTTATGAAGAATATAGGAAAGATAAGATCCGACAGAAGATAGAAGAAACACGTGCACAGAGAGTCCAATTAAAGGTAAAACATTGTACTCACTATTGAATTTACTAGAGAAAAGTACTTAAATTTCATTTTGTGTTATCATTCCAAAGAAACTTGCCATCCATTTCTGAGTTTTCCCATCCCTAGTATCCATCTTTTACTAAAATTTTGGGTACCTTTTATTTGTCACAAGGGTGGGCGCTCTACAGTTTCATGGCTGTGGACTCTGGTAATGGTATTGTGGGGACTTATGCCAGATGGGCATTGTCAGTCCTCCTGAGAACATCTGACAGCGTTTTCAAATGGGCATCAGATTCTGGGGTGTTGGACTTTGCTAATCCCCATTTCTTGCTGATATTTGGCTGTGTCCTAGGCCAGCTGCTTGGATTATGGGAAATAGGCATTAGACTGTGTCAGGGTCTGGACAGCAATCAGACCATACTAGTTATATTAATCGAGAAAATTTAATGTGAAGAGTCATTAACCAGGTAGTAGAGAACTGAAAAGGCAAAAACACTCAGGTACCAATAAGAGAGGCCGTGGCTGCAGGAAGGTTTACTTATGGAGCTAACACTCTAGGGCTGAACAGCAGACCTTTAAGGGGTTGCTATGCTGGTGCTGGGGTCCTCGAGATAGAACAAGACTGCTCCTGAGAGTTTCGGAAAACCACAAACTAGAATCCCCCCACTCTGCTGGAACCACTTGGTACTGCCAGGGTGAAGCAGTGTTGGCATGTGATGCCAACCCAACAGGAGGCACACAGGAGAGAGCAAGTCCCATCTTCCACTCCTGCCTTCCAGTCTATCTAGTAATCTTCCTAGATTAAGGTTAACCACCAGTGCTGCAGTCAGTTCTAACTGAACATTGGCTCGCGCTCGCGCTCTCTCTCTCTCTCTCTCTCTCCCTCTCTCTCTCCCTCTCTCTC